TTTTTAATTTTTATTTCATGCGAAATAATTATTAACTGAGTTGTTTAAATATGTGAGGGCCCCTTTAAGTCAGCACTGTTGTTAGGGTCACCCTTGTTAAATAAAGTTGAATAAAAGAAAAATTTAGGTACTGTATACTCCCACAACCCATAGGAGACATGGGACCACTGAGCAAATTGTAATACATAAATCAGAGAGAAATTAAAAGAAGAAACTTCTGTACTGTAAATTGCAATTATGTTAGTGGATTGTTTATATATCTCTTACCTCCAGTGCCATCTCCTCTGGTGAAGTCTCCACCCTGGATCATAAAGTCCTTGATAACACGATGGAATTTACTACCTTTGTATCCCTCTGTACCCTAAAAATACAACATGTGCTGCAGTTACAAAATTAAATCCAACAAAATATACTGTGTTCACAAATAAATAATAATAATAATAACAATAATAATAATAAAATAATAAAATAATAATAATAATAATAATGTATAGGATATTAATAAAGTGGCCTATAATAATCTCTCAGAGCACTTACACACAAAAATGAATAAAAAAAAAAGAAGATAAATTAAATGTTAAAAAGATGCTTTTTTAGGCGGTCCTTAAACGTAGTCAAGGACGTTTCCTCCCTAATAAATATTTTGAGCTGGTTCTATTACATCTGCTATCTTCAATTTGTACTTTATATACAATCTATTGGTTTATAATTTTTCAGACTTATTGCATGTTCTGTGATGTATGTTGTACATGTAATTTTTCCTATGGTACCATACTGGTATGTGCAGTTTATTTCAATAAATTGAATAATAGAGCATTATTATGTCATATTTTGATTTATTTATTATTTAATAATGTTTTTATTATCATTTTCTCATATTTTTTAATATGTTCTGTCGAATCAGTTGAGAAAAAAATCTACTAACCTCTCTGGTTGCTAGAGTTACAAAGTTTTTTACAGTCTTTGGTACTGTTTTTCCAAACAATCCAATATCCACTCTTCCTATGTATTCACCTCCGATTTCTATTTCAAAGAAAACCTGAAGGTAAAAATATTTATTGAATGAATTTCTGCAAGTCAAATTGGCAGAGATAATGAAAATAATCTTTTCATTGGGACAACCTTTTTAGTTGTTTTAGAAGATACTGTTATATGTCACAAAATGTTTAAAAAAATGAATTGTTGTCAAGTTAGATTTCCATAAAAATGACTAATATTTAATTCTTTGAAATGGGCAATTAAGTTTAACTGTAATTGGAAATATTGACACTCAATATTCAGGGGCGGATCCAGAGATGTCCAAAAGGGGGGACCCAAGAAGGGGGGGGGGGCCGAAATTTGGGCCGATCAAGACCTGTCTCTTATACACATCTAGATGTGTATAAGAGACAAAATTTGTGTGTTCTAGACGCCCGAAGATAACATTTGAGGCGTTCTGGGATATAATTTTTTTCTTTTTTTTTACCTCCCAAAAGAGGGGGAAGGGCGGGACCCCCCTAAATCCGCCGCCCCTGATATTTAACCTAATTAGAAACCTCTTGTAATAATTCACACGACATATACACATGGCCCACCATATTGAAATAATTAATTAGTAAAGACCAGCCTTAAAATTCCCACGATGGACGCAGCATGCAGCTGGACCGTAAGTGTTTTAAAGGCTTAAGCTAACCCGTTACATTTTAGTCCTACATTAAATATCCAGATATAGAATTATTAACATGCATTGTAAAATCATTGAACACTTGATGGAGTTTCAAATAGGCTCCTAGGCCCTATAAGCCTAGAAAAACAATAAATAGGTGGCGAATGCTGGTTGGCCAATGCAAGTTAGCGGAAGCTCAATACAACCAAGTCAGTCCTGCACTAATTAACGCCACACTCTTGTGTATGATGTGGCAAAACACGGCTTACAAAAAACGCTCGGAATATACGTACCACATCTGTAACTTTTGGGCCTTTTTTTGGCTTCTCCGCTGCTGTAGGAAGTAACAGATATATAAGAGAAGCAACAAGAATAGAAATAACTATGATAGCCTTCATGTTTCTTGCTAAGAAGTGCCACATGTAATTAATGGTATCTGGGGCTCAACTAGGTTCAAACTTTATTGATTGCTTATTGTTCTCGCTGGCAATTGGGGGCGAACTCTCGTAAATGCTGCCACCAACTTGTCTTCCTGTTTGTAGCAAACTTCTTCAAATTTAAATTTTGAATATAATTATAGACTGGTTTATGTTCATTCAACTTGTATACACCGATATCCATTTTATTCTTGTTCATTTAAGACTTTATCTCATCCATGTTAGTTTTATTATTACATATTATTATATTATCATTACTATCGTTACTATTGCAATTATTATCATGCCCTCTATATGATACCTGTTATAATGTATACACTTGTTCTTTAATTATGTTCATTGTGATCTATATTGAATCTTTCATTATTACAGATATATATTTACTTGCCTTTTATTATAGTCATTTTACTCATTAATTTATTTCCTTATTCCTTAGTTGCCTTACAGCCACCTGCTGTTTATTCACCATAATTATTTCACTTTTGTTTAATATCAAAGGCCCGACCATTGTTATTATAATTAAGTCATCATGATTCAGTCTGACCAATCGCCTATTAGATATTATTGTATTGTATTGTTCCAACTTTCTCATACAGTAATGTTAATCAGTCATGCTGAAGAGGACCATGAAGTCAGGTCGAAATATTCATGTTTTAATAAATTATGTTTTGTAGTCTACTCCCGTTTCCTGTTTTTCTTTATCCATATAAACACACGTGGAATCCTCTTCATGTTTTCTAATTATATACATATATATATATAATATAATAATAATACAGTGCTCAAATATATAGAAATATATAGGAACATGAAACTCTAAAAAAAAAAAAGACTTATTTCCATTGGGGGTCACGCTGGTGGTGAGCAGTACACCGAGAGACAATCCCCAACGAAAGTTCCTTATTATGAAACTTCAGGGCTCACACAGCGGAGCGAAGCATATTTTAAGCTATGTAATA